GCTGTTACCAGTAAATACACAGATCCCTTCTGTTACCAGTAAATACACAGATCCCTTCTGTTACCAGTAAATACACAGAGCCCTGCTGTTACCAGCAAATACACAGAGCCCTTCTGTTACCAGTAAATACACAGATCCGCTGGATGGAGGGACTGCAGGGTGGAGCTCCCAGTAATCGCATCAATCCAGCGCAGTTCTACGTCTCCTGGGAATCTGAGCAAACATCATTTTTCAGAGCGCAGAACAGAATCTTATGTCCTTCAAAGCACCGGGGGGCTCTGGGTTTCCCTGAACTCCCCACGTCACAGAGAAGTATTACAAAATCACTCAGAGGTTCTTGTAAACGAGCAACGGGCCAGATGAACGGCTGGCCTCTGAGCAGGACTCAAACTCTCCACATGTGCAACGTGTCGGCTGTTTGCTGGGAGACCTGCAGGGTTTTATAGGTTTTCATGACTCTCTTCAGCGCTCGTCAGGTTCTGCTTCATTTAAGTTTACGAGGCGGCGGGTGGAGCTGCAACACCATTAAAGCTCTTCAGTCAACAGCAGGCTGCAGGAAATAGACCGCACCCAGGAGCTCTGGGTGGCAGCCTGGACTGATTGATCAGAGTGAATCCGCTGCTGTTCCACCTGGAAGTTGGGCTGCAGCTCAGAGAACGTGTCAATAAGGAAGAAATGGTTTGATTCAGAAAGTCCTGAAAGTCCATCCAGCTTCTGGTACAGCTCGGTAGACAAACTCCACCTGGAGGCCGAGACAATCAACCCGGATGTTTTTATTGATCTGACGTTAACATAATCCAGAATTACACAACAGTCTCCAACATGACTTCAGATGTTCTCACGTGACTCGAGAATTGATCATAAATGACTTAAGTGGTTTAAAACATGTCCACAGTGACTCAAAATTGTCCAAAATGATTTTTAAACATTTTCCAAAATGACAAAAAGTTGTCGTAAATATAAAAACAAACTCCAAAATGACTCGAGATGTTCTTAAGTGACACAAAATTGGTTCTTCATGACTCAAAATTTGTCTAAATTGACTCAAAATGTTCTCAAAATGTTAGAAAAAGATCTAAAATGACTCGAAATCTAACCTGAGTGACTGAAAATGTGTCCACAGTGACTCAAAATTTGCCTTAAATGGCAAATAAAAATCCAAAATTTGCTCACAATGGAGCAAAATTGTGCTAAACTGCAAAATCAATCTCCAGAACGACCCGAACCCTTCACAGCTCCACATCAGCCAACCACGACTGGCCACGTGTCGCTGGCGACTCGAGGTTTGTCCTGATGACAGCACACTGTGGGAGTGACTCAGCGTGTCCTGATGACAGCACACTGTGGGAGTGACTCAGCGTGTCCTGTCTGTCTCCTGCAGAGATCCTGAAAGGAGGCGTGAAGATGGCCCACAACCCCCTGCTGTGCAACGTGGAGAGCGTGCGGTGGGGCGACCTGCTGGACGGGGACAGTCAGCCCAGCATGCTGCTGAAGCTGGACGCCGTCGCCTCCCACTGTACGTACGGCCAGCCCGCTGCTGTGTGGCCTGCTGAGGCTGCAGCTCTGATCACTGTTGTGTTTGCAGGTGAGAAGTGCCACTCCAGCTGTGTGAACGGATCGTGCTGGGCGGCGGGACCGGACCACTGCCAGACATGTAACTCCCTCTGCTGGTCCTTCAGCGCCTCCGAGAACTTTAACCTTCTGAACCCCACAGACCTCCTCATGTTAACTTTAAAACACCTGGCGACGCGCCGTTTGATCTGGAACGTGATCCGAACTCTGATATCCTCTTAAAACCTGAAATCAGGTCCAGCAACACCAGAACATGTTCCCTCCTGGTTCCAACTTCTACAGCCGATGAGCAGAGCAGAGAGGAGAAGTCTGGAGACACGGAGACAGTCCAACATCTGCAGGACGAGGAGACCACAGGAGCACAGAGACGACGTAAACCAGACATAAAACGACAAGAAACAAGACAGAGAGACAGAAGAGACACAAAACAACCACAAAACGAGACTCAGTGACTCAGAATGACAAACGAGACCAAAAGAAGACAGAAGACGAGAAAAACTAGACACAAAACGACACCAATGACACACAAAGTGACACAAACACGACAAATTCAAACAACTAGACTGAAAAACATTGAAAAATAGACACTGAACAGCCCAAATAACACAAAAATTACACAAACTAGACAGAGAACAACAAAAATGTGACACAAAGTGACCACAAAGAGGCAAAAGCGTCCCAGAAAATAGCAAAAACGAGACACAATGACAAAAAAATAGACAAGAGAAGGAAAAAACAACACAAATGAGACACAAACGACAAAAATGAGACGACAAAGAGACTCAAACCAACGTAAACGAGACATCAAGTGACCAATAGAGGCAGAAGAGCTGAGATGCCATCAGACTGTGAGTAGTTCAGCATCTCCAGGACCTGGAGACGTCGCCTTCAGTGTGAATCATGATCAGAGAAACGTTCCTCCTCTCTGGTCTCCATGGTTCTGAGTCCTGCTGACAGGAGACGTCTCTGAGTTCTCTCCTCCTCCTCCATGTTCTGGTTCGTCAGAGCTGCAGGAGAAACATGAAGCTCAGTGAAGGACTCGGGGTTCAGACGGTTAAAACCTCTTGGCTTCCTTCCTCCTCTGCACCTTTTTCATTCCAGCTTGTTGGTTGTCAGATAAAGTGTCCAGCAAATAGCCAGAGTCTCCCGTTTGTGTTCCTTGCAGTTACCAAGCTGCTGTGTGCGGAGCAGTGCAGCAGAAGGTGCCGAGGTCCGAAACCCATCGACTGCTGCAACGAGCACTGTGCTGCCGGCTGCACCGGACCGCGGGCCACCGACTGCCTGGTCAGTGATCTCCCCCTCTGGATGCTCTGCACCAGACAAAGCAGGAGCTCCCAGTGACCTGCAGCAGCCTGAGAAACACAAGCGTGATCCAGAATCACGCCGACTGGTCCGCTGACTCTGGATGGGCCAAACAGAACTCAAAAATGGTTTTAAATGGCAAAGATGTGTCAGAAATGACTCAGCGTTTATCCAGAATGACGCAGATTCGTCCTAAATGACCAAAGAAAAGCCTGAACTGCTTTTCTTGTAGTTTTTCATGAGTCAACACGTGTCCTGTCTTGGCATAAATAATCTAAACGTGTGAGAAGACAAACAGAAGCTGGAGGCCACAGCAGAGCTGCAGCGTCTACACCAGCAGCCTCCAACCTGTTCTGCACCACAGACCAGTTACAAGCAGGAAACATTTCCTCAGACCGTCGCCGTGCAAAAAAGAAAAAAATGTCCTAAACGAGGCCACCACGCCGTGCTTCATCATGACGCTGCCACCGCCGTGCTTCATCGTGACGCTGCCACCGCCGTGCTTCATCNTGTGTGTGTGTGTGTGTGTTATCTCTCCGTCCATCTCTTGCAAGTTGTGAAACATAAATTCTCGGCTTCTCCCTGGGCTCTGATTGGCTGCTGCTCCCTGAACTCTGATTGGCTGCTGCTCTGATTGTGATCTGGCTCTTCAGTGGAAGTGAAGAAACTCTGCCAGCGGGTTTCTGGTCTTGCAGAGATGAAGCGGCCCGGCGTGGAGCTTCCTGTTCGGAGCAGAACAGCTTCAGCAGCCGGTTCTGAGAGCGTTTGTGTGTCCTGATGGAACGTGTTCCAGCGTAACCGTGATGGATGACGAAACAAAACAAACCGACCAAGAGTTCAGCGGCGAGCTTTGGTTCCTGGAAAGAAGGACTCTTCAGGGTGGAACATCTCAGTGGCTGCAGGGTTCTACAGGTTCTGCTGGTTTCTGACGCTCTTGTGTCGGTCCAACCTCAAGTCTGTGAGGCAGCCCAGAGAATCAGCATCAGAACCTCCAGAACCAGCGTTCTGTAGGAGCTGTCGCTGTTCTGAGCCGATCTCAAAGATGGAGGCATTTTTTACTGATCAGTATCGAACCTCAGCCCGTTATTGTGATTCAGAAGCTCTTTCTGCTTGGAGGTCCTGAACCTCCTCAGAGTCTCTGTCATGGTCCCGCTGCTGCTAAACTCCCACAATGCTCTCTGCTGCCACCAGGAGCTGTAGTCTGTAGACGCCTCCTCTGGTCTCCACAGGATTAGACAGTGAGAGGCTCCACCTGGTGGAACAACACGACACTAAGGGACACAAAAGCACAAAAAATTAGACATAAAGTAATAAAAAGGACATAAAACAACACAAGCATGAAACAAAACGACACACGAGACACAAAACAGCAAAAGTGAGACACAAACGAGACAAAATGACAATAAGACAAAAAAACTACAAAATCTAGACACAAAGTGATGAAAACAACACAAACTAGACACAGAACAACAAAAACTACACAAACTAGACACAGAACAACACAATATAAACACTTGGGTTTCAGGCTACATTTCTTCCGGGACGTCTCTCCTCCCAAAGAACAAAAGGAAAACGTGAAAGCAGAAGATGATTTAAAAGCCAAACCAAAGCGCTGCAGCTTCCCAGTAACTGCTGCAGGAACACCTGAGGGCTGAACTACGAAGACCAGCAGGTCATCAGGTATGTTGCCTGAAGTCAGAGCTCTCACTGTCAGGATGCTGTGGAGTTAGGTCTCCATGGCAACTGATGCTGTGGAGTTAGGTCTCCATGGTAACTGATGCTGTGGAGNCTAGATTTTAGATTTTTAATTCATTGACATTATTTTATAAAAATGCATTTTTACCTTGAAATCAGAGTCTTTTGTGAACTCTTGTGGTGAGCAGCACTAATGACTGAATGCTTTGTATAGACTCTGTATGTAGTTAAACAGTGATGCTGCACGGATTCTTCTCTCAGTAAAATCTTCTAAATAAACCAAATCTTGTAAAAGCACAGGTCTGAATGTGTGGATGCTCCACTGCAGTGCAACGTGCAGCTGGTCGTAGTTTCACCTTCAGTAAAAACCCCTTCACACCCTCCCAGCTGCTACATTCAGGTCAAAGCTCCAGTCTCCAGCTTCCTGTTTGTGACAAACTGTTGCTCTCTAACACTCCCACTCTGTCTCTGCTTTTCCAGGCCTGCAGGGCCTTCAATGATGATGGAACATGTAAAGACACGTGTCCTCCTCTTAAACTCTACGACCCCAAAACCCACCAGGTGGTCGACAACCCCAACGCCAAGTTCACCTTCGGGGCGACCTGCGTCAAGGCCTGCCCACGTACGGACGTTTAACCATCTCAGCTGATGAGATTATCTGTCATCGTATCATCCAGGCCCACTGGTCTCCTCTGAAGCTTTGACTACATGTGAAAGTAACACCCATGTGATTTAGCTGGACAGTTAGCTCTGGTTTAGCCCTGAAAGTCCACCCTTAAATGGAGCTAAAAGGCATTACCAGGTGCAAACCACAGCTAACAGGAGCTAACAGAAGCTAGCTGTACTTTAAGGGTGAAGTTGATTATCCTCCAAATACTACATTATACAAGGAACACTATTGTAAATGTGACCGTCGGCCTTTTTCCTTTGTCTGAGTTTAGGTTCAAAGAGTACAGATAAGGAAACAACAGCAGTTCACAAAATTCACTAAATCTTAACCTTAACGTACGATTTTAATCCTTGAAATGAGGTTACAGAAATGCAAACTGTTGCTCTGAGAGGAACCGAATGATCCAACCAGTGACTGATTACTTGTTAGTTTCATGTGGATGAACTTCTTTCAGCTGCATGTTGCCTAATGAAGCAGCTCTTTGGTCTCAGTAGAACCGGATCTAACCCTGTGCTGGTTCTGCTCGGTGCAGATAACTACGTGGTGACAGACGGCTCATGTGTTCGGACCTGCGGCGCTGGGATGTACGAGGTGGAGGAGCATGGAGTGCAGCGCTGCAGACCCTGTGATGGAGCCTGTCCTAAAGGTAGGAACACACCTGTCCTAA